AAGTCATGATTGAGTCAGCATGGAATTTCAGTTATTTCATAGTTATACCCTCTGGTTATTTAACGTAGCGAACTGGAAAATCACCATGTTTAATAGCAAAATCATCATGTTGATCATCTACAAATGGACAATGTTCATCCATTTTCTGCTATGTTAAATCACCATTCGGACCAAAGTGTAGATCATGTTCGATCACCATTGGTACCCAATCCCACTCTGGGCTTCCTGGCTCGATCCTGCAAAGAACCGCGGCTGCTGGAGCCTCCCTGGGGAGAACCAGGAGCTTCCAGCGCCGCCTGGGGGAAGCCCAATTCGCTGTTCGGGCGGGGATGCAACCTGCAATGAGAGAAAAATACCAGGGATTTTTGTTTGGGTTCACTATGGTTCACTATCGAAAATGAGACGCATTAAAATATGCCACAATTCAAATACGATTGATATAATCATCAAAAATATAAAAAGAAAACAATAAACATCAACAAATGGAATAGTAAAATAATTCCATCCAAGATAGGCATGTAGCCACCAGAAGTGTGGATATAGCTGGGGTTATTCCCCCCAGCCACGATATGCCAGAGTGAAGGCTTAAAGGGCGCCATTTCCAAACATGCGAAAACATATTGCCATTTACTTCCTGGTAATCTAACATAGCCAAGGCAAATCAGCACTTTATAGATGTTTTTTTATCATTATTTTCCATAGCGACGTTAAATTACCAGAGAGTATCCCAAACATATCAAAAATGGCCCAGTTTGTCCAGGCAATTTTTTACCCAGTCATGTAGGCAAATTGGTAGACTCACACAATATCATGACAATGTGGGATTATAAAGTGTTATTACTCATAGTTACTTGGTAGTTCATCCCACTTGGCCCCATTTATAACCAGAGTTATAACCTTAATTACTAAGTAGAATGACTTACCAAGTGTATAAATATAAACATTACAAATACATTATAAACATACGTTTTCAGCCAGCATTTCGGGCGTCCAAACTCTGGAAACACATCCGGGGCATCATCCCCTGTGGAAACACGTCCCAGTCAACTTCTCCGGGGCACCATGTCGACCGAACTGTCAGATCGTCCAGGTGAGACCTGACAGAGTTGTTGATCAATGGGAGATTTGAGGACATATGGGCATTTCCTGGAGATAGAATCAGCAATATGATATTTGGATGTCTGAAAATAAGGTATGTTGGTATATCTTGAATTTATGGTCAACATTAAATAGGAAACATATAAACATATGTATTGGAAACATGATCATCAACCATCAATTTTGTGGGTTTTTCCATGGTTTTCCGTATAGAAACAACACGCCAAAGTGGTACATGGCCCGTCTTCGTCAACACTTCGATGCTGGAAAAACTGGACACTTCCCAGTCAGGGGCAGCAGCTTCCCTGGATTCATAAACCCCAAACGGCTGTTTAACTGGGGGGGTACCATGTAAGTATCAGACTATGACTATTGGGGAAGTACCCCCCTAATTAATAAACTATGGTTTATTAATCCGGGGTTGACATTATACAAACATTGAAACCACCAGGTAGGTGACATGATTTATCAATATTTATCATGGTTCAGAGAACTCAACTACCTAAACACATCTAAAAACTAGATACAACTGGGATATGATGCTGTCCGCGCAAAAAAATCCAACCCAAAAACTCAACCCCGGTGCCTTCCGATCAGAACCGCAAACGACGGCCTCAGTGGAGGCTCCATCGACAAGATCCATATGGAAATCCTTCAAATTCAATGGATTTCTGGGACATCTACAGAACACATCAGATTTTTTACCATTAATTGATTAATTGTACGCGTTTCCCGTATTTTTGTTCACATCATTCAATTCTTGGAATCATCACAAACACGAGAATCTTATGAACATCATGCAAACCGTAAGACTAGAAGAGTACGCATCACTATGTAACAGTACAGCATGTAGGCAAAAATGCCAGGTCATACCAGAGCGCTTCATTTCAGTCATCCGTTCCACCAGGGCGTGTCACATGAATTAACTAGTGGAGATGATCATAGCTCCTTAGGTCCAAACTCAAAGTGGCTGAGTGGAGAGCTAGCCTATATAAAATGAACGTAGACCATGTCGATCCGTCCAAAAAAAAATGGACTATGTACTCTAAAACCTGGTCTACCTCAGGAAATATCACAATTTTGATTGGTTATGACCAAGCGCGGAAACGCCGATACTACTTATCTGCAAATGGTGGGCCGGCAACGGCTGGGGGAAACGTACGTTTATTGGCCGGCAATGGTGAGCCGGCAATGGTGAAATATGTTCTGCATACATATATCCAGGCAGTTTTAACATATTCTGACCATTGTAACATTGTGTATCATCTTCCGCATTCAATGTGAGTTCTGGAGATTGCCCAAATGGTCCTATAAACATGACAATAATATACCCTCTGGCAAATTAACATAGACCCTGAAAATCACCCATTTTTAGAGGAAACTAATCTTCCAACCCCTATCTACCAGGGTCTATGTTAATTTACTGGAGGGTACATAATAACAATAATGGGGGACAATGGAGATATCATGGAGAAATATCATGGAGATACACTGATTCATGGGAAATCCATGGGATATAAATGGATATTCTGGCAGTATGGATGTGGGAAAACCAATCATAAACCTACCGGATGGTGTGTAGCACCCATAAAAGAATGATGATGATTTTGGGGATGGGATTATGGCATTGGATTTACCACAATAATAGCAATGATGATAGTAATATACTGGTATTTATTTATATATTCGTAGTATAATATATATATATATATATCATATATCATATATATATATATATATCATATATCATATATATATATATATCATATATCATATATATATATATATATCATATATACAATATTGTACATACTTTGAACATCCATGATTCCGGATAAAAACATGTGCTGCTTCATGAGAGGTAAGGTCACGATGCTGTGAATCAAGGAGCCCCTGTGGGAATGACTGGTGCGATAATTACATTATGTGTAGATACATATATACATATATATATACTAATCCAAATGTATGTATACATATATACGTATCATGTATATATATATCATGTATATCCACACACACATATATATATATACACATGTACATACATATATACATATATATATATATACATGATATGTACATATATACATGTATGCATGAATATCTTCTATAGAAATTACAGCAAGGTCTATATATTTGCACTATGGGGACGCCCGTATAGGGATCCGTGCGGATCGCCGGCCACGGCGGCAGCTGTCGGCCTGTCAAGCATTTTCTTGATATCCCTATAAATGGAGGTTTTAATGGGAAAATCATAGGAAAATTAGGAAAATCATGGGAAAACGTAGGAAAGTGAAGATCTATCCTCTGGTAATCAAACATAGCAATGGGCAATTCGATACAATTCCCAATTTATAGATATTTAATATAGATGATAAACATGATGATTTACCTGTGAAAAATGATGATTTTCCATCGCTACATTAAAAAATAACCAGAGGGCCATTCTCCATCATCTTCGCTGCAATCCCTCGACAAGTCATCCACTCAAATACCCAAGTTGCTGCCTCCCCAGCTATGTTTGTTGATAAACCCCAGCAACTAGTTCGATATTATATATATATATATTTATATTTATATACACATCATAAACCCTAGTGAAATATCAGTCATAAAGAAACTGAGCCAAGTATGGGGCACAACCTTGTAGTCTACATTTTTTTTCTTGCCTCTGATGGCACCTGCCACCATCTCAGCCCTGCACCTCGCTGCCGCTATGGCTCTCCTGCTCATTTGCAGTTGAAGCAACAGCAGTAGAGAGCAATGAGCTCAAGATCATACATTACATTAGGATTGTATTACATTGCATTAAACTGCATGACATTACATCACACATAATTTCATTTTCATCACAGTATTTATATGTATATATATATATTATATTGTATTACACTAGAAAATACGCTGCAATAATATGCAATAACATAGCGTGACATTATAGCATAGCATAGCGTAACATCACATAACAGAACAGAACATCACATCACATCAAAGAGACACACACATAATATATGTATGTATGTATGTATGTATGTATGTATGTATGTATGTATGTATGTATGTATGTATGTATGTATGTATGTATGTATGTATGTATGTATGTATGTATGTATGTTGTATGTATGTTGTATGTATGTATGTATGTATGTATGTATGTATGTATGTATGTATGTATGTATGTATGTATGTATGTATGTATGTATGTATGTATGTATGTATGTATGTATGTATGTATGTATGTATGTATGTATGTATGTATGTATGTATATATATGTATGTATGTATATATGATTACATATGTATAAATATGATCTTATATACGTAGATAGAGGGAGAGAAAGAGAGGGAGAGACACCAAGAAAAGCATGTCAAAACGCAAAAGGGTACAGTAATGGAGCAAAACAACATCACATATCATCACAAATGAATGTAGTGTCTCTCTGATCATATGTATATATATAATAGACTGTGGCTAATATATGACCCTTGAAATTTGGCAACAACATCGGTATATGTCTGAAAGTGGGCTGATACCTTGGAAAAATGGCAAGTTCTAAGAAAGAACTAATGATTAACCAGCACAAGGTTATCTCCATAGTCAGCTAAATTGGATTGTGAGTAACATAACTAGGGTTTATAATAGATATATCGAACTAGTTGCTGGGGTTTATCAACAAACATCACTGGGGGGAACCGCCTTGCATTCTATTCATATATCCCCCCCTTAAAAATCCCTATTTTTCGTGATTGAACGAATAGTGTGCGGGGATATATCCAATATAGTCCAAAATTCATCCACCATTATCCATCATTATCCCATCATTTCCCTAGTTAAATCCCACCCTTCTGTTGGTTTTTTGTCCCATCACTGAACCGAAAATCCATCGCTGCGCCGAAAATCAACCGCTGGCCGCCTGTTTGCGGCACCTCTCCGGCGAGTCCGGCTTGGCCTAGAGATCGGTAGATCCTGATATCTACCCGGCCTGGTAAACTAACATAGCGAACTGGAAAATGGCCATAAAAATCGTGGATTTTCCCTAAATCGCATGGTGATTTTCCATCGTTTTTGGTATGTTTACCAGAGGGTATGTGAACTAGTTACTAGTTGGAATAACTAAGGTTTCTGGCAGATAAATATATGGTGTGTATATATATATATATGTGTCTATATAACATTATATAACTACGTATAGACATTAACTAACGTTAACTAGAGTTTTCAGAAACATTGACGTATGGTATATAATAGTTAGATAATTACCACCCCTTTTTCGATCTGTGGTCATATCGCGTTGCTCTTGGCTGTCCCTCGTTTGGATATTAAATCAATCACCATTTCTGTTGGACATTGCTGAGAGACCGCCAACTTTAACACAGCCCAAATGAGTAATTTCTGGATACCGGTATTTTGGGGATGATTCCCCCTTGCACTCCTCATTTCTGGCTTCCTGGTGAAATAAAAAAAATGTCGGTGAAGCCCTTTTGTGAAATGTCCCCGGAGATGTCACCCCACCTGCTTGTGGCACACCTACCAAGCCTTGTGCCCCCTTGTATTTTCCAAACTGAGTATGCTTCGCAGTGAAACACAAACTTGAGCAAATTACATCAAATTACCATCCATAAGGTCCATAATGTAATAATGTTGGAATTATTTTGGTGAGACATTTACAGATTTATCAACATTTATTTGCTGGTTGGTGGTTTCAACCTACCCCTCTGAAAAATGATGGAGTTCGTCACTTGGGATGATTAGTCAATTCCCAATATGAATGCAAAGTCATAAAATTCCATGGTTCCAAACCACCAACCAGATATATGATATATTGTTATTCCAATTATTAACCATCATTACCATAGATTAACCATAGATTAACCATAGATTAACCATAGATTAGCCAGGAAAAGCCATGTTCCAAACCACCAACCAGTTTATCATGTATCAGTATATAATTCCAATGTTTTTTCCAGACGGCACCTCCTCGCTAGCGAGCTCGGTCAGCGCCATGCGACCGGGCCTGGGATCTGGCGATTGGGAGAACGGTGGCTTTCACCGACATGGCTGGAGTACCTTGCGCTCGCAAAAAAAAAACATATGAATTCCTCACCTGAACTACCCTGAAGAAAAAACAATGACATCTAAGTCATCTAAGTGTCCAAATTCTCCATGGGATATCAAACTTTAGCTCCATCTAGACAGCTTGAAAATGGAAACCATGAAACGTGCAATCAGACGTTAGCCTGAAAGAGGGGACAGACCAGCCAAACTAATGTTTGAATGACACGCATGGCATATGAGTCAATGGTACACTACCATACATGTACAGTACCTCACATATAAACATATAGAAACATCATCAACACTGGAAGGAATCACTCCTGCTAGCTCCGCAGTTTTTGACCATCCATCTTTTATCTGGCAATGATCAGGTTGGAATCAGGGCAATAAATATCCGATTTGTCAATATATTTCGATACCCTGCCGTGGCATATTTCCGCAAGACAGCATTCGATACCTGGTGCAGTGATGAACGTGCGACTCCAACAAATTTGTCTGAAAAGTGGGTACCCAAAACTCTGATGGTTCATAATTGTCATTCATTTTCAACTATGTTCTATATGAAGAATAATATATATATATATAATATATATATATATACATTTTCCGAAAGCACGCATTGGGGTGTCACATTGGCGGTTTCAAGCCATCCTAAAAATGGGGTGGAGCCTGAGAGACAGCCACTACCACCAGAAATGGGTGGTACACACCATCCCCAAATTGGAGTATAGTTTTTGGCTTTACCACTTTATTCACCATCAAGTTGTGGTGAGGTCGTTTCAGGTTGTGAAATATGGTGAGGCATTCAGTCATGTTGTGACTGTGAATTGGCAGTCACAGTCACAACTGGCAACGGAGAAGGCACCATTTTCACATCGATAATCATATCCATATTTTTTTGGTTCAGGTCCATAGTGGTATCCGTATAAACAATCCATATAGATATATCCTTCAATATCCCTATGATTTTCAGGGACAAATCAGCAGCTAAGTTCCCTTCCAGCGCCTGCAAAGCAGGTGTGGAAGCTGCGGCGCCTGGTTGGTGTCCTGAACGGCGATGCTCGCACTGCATGTTTTGTACATGTGGATTTCCCGTAAATCGCCATCTTTGACTACCAGATACTACCAGGTACCCTCTGGTAAAACTAACATAGCTATGGAAAATCTCAGAATTTCCAATCATTCCATAGAATTCCACTATTTGGGATTTTCAATAGCTATGTTACCAGAGGCTAGCCGCTAGCCCCATTTTCGATCTCCACACCTGGCTGCTTGGCGCCGCTGCCTGCCATGGTGGCGACTGTGGCACCAAGGGCTCGCTGGAGCCGGCCGGAGACATGCGGCGGCTGGGTGCCTGAGGTCGCAGGTTGGCTGCTGGCTGGAAATCACTCATGGTTGGGGGTTGACTACCAGGATGGTAAATGGAGTTATGGAAATGAATACCACATTTCTATCATGGTACATGATTGAAATGGATTTATAACCCATTTCAATCGTGGTAGTTTTCATACGTACTCGTTTCGGACAGAACATGTTTGGAAGTTCAGTATGAATCCATTTTTGGTGGCTCAATTCTGACCCAAACCCATAAGTACTATAAAGGTTGAAGCTTTACCACTTTAGCCTCTTCGCCTCTTCGGAAATGAAGTGCCTGGACATTTCGCAGTCATGAGAGTAGATATATCTCAATATGCTGAATGAAATAAAGTATGGATGTATATGGATGTATAATATATCATGAACTATTATGGTACATCTGATACGTATTCCATACCTGAAACATACAGGCATCTCATCAATGATGACTTACCAAGTACATGTCGATATAACGGAGAAGAACCCCAGGATTATATTTGTTCATGTAAATGTAATAACGTCTCTCTCTCTCTCTAATATATATATATATACAATTATATACAATTATTATATATATACACACACATCTAAGCATCAATCGGTACAGCACAGCACCGTTATAGATGAATTTCCATATGTTTCTGAGCTGCACAGCATGTTTCCAAATAAGAAACACAGGACGTACTAATCCAACATCCCCCACCCCAACACAACTTGTATCAACCTATGTTGAAGACCCAGTGGAATCCCATGACCTCTGGTTCACCCTTGGTTTCATGGCGGTGAATGGTGAATGATTGTTTTACACAATCGCTGTATATTCAAATTATGTAACTATGTGTATATACATATATATATATGCAAGATTATGCAAGTAGTTATATAATATTGTATATTAAACTTGTAGGCAGAAGAGTCAAAATTGACTTTTGGGAAAGTTTCAACAGTGTTGCACACAGTGATGAACACATTATCAGTAGGTTTGCTGTGCTCTATGTGGGTCGCCCCATTTTTGGCCATGGATTCTCTTCTGGGGCTATGTAACGAATAAACACTTATCTAACCAAGGAAAACGAGCATCCTGATTTGGCCAAAAGACCTCGTGAGAGTCTTGATAGTCCACAAAGTGTGCCTGGTCTTCCAAGGGCATACGACCGAGTTGGTGGCTGAATTAGTCTGTAACCATTCACCCAAATAAGGTCAGCTGGGCTACATGAGTGACGCCGTTGTGAGATTGTTGTGACCCTGAAATATAGGGATTGCTCAGAACCTAAGGAACTGTGGAACACAAATGTTGGTGCTTACCAGCCAGTTCTAGGGTACTTCCCCGAAAGATAGAACTGTGAATTATCACATATTATCACTAGGTATTTTCCTGGGATTTTACTCTTCTTTCCCCTTTTTGGTGGTTTCTGTACGCTATAAATCATGACCAACCCTTCGTCGCCTGAATCTCTTGAGGCCGGGGAGCGGGCGACGCCTGCATCGATGTCAAAGTCTGTAGAAAATGCTTTTGCTTTGTAGATATATATGTACACATAGATAAATATAGAAGATGATGATAAATATGGATAAATCATCTACACATGATTTGTGGATCATTAGTCTAAATCAATCATGAACGTGAAATAATGCTATTTTATGCTATTTCGGATAGTTATAAAGTGACGCCGAGACGTGAGGTCGTTTTGATCTATCCAGAAACCGGTATTTTTTCAGCTACAAAATCATGGTAATCCCATGTAGCCCCATATTAGCTTTTGATCAAAGACATTGTTACCTCACATTATCCCCAAACTTGGATGGCACCAGCTACAGTAACAACTGGTCATCATTATATCAGTATTGGGTCAAAAAACATTCTTCTTACGGGTTCTCACAACAATCCCCAAAAAAGTTAGTATAACATGTCTGGGTAAATTATAATATTTCACTAACCTGAATTAAGGTCATTTGAAGATGATTTCCCTTACGAACCATGATTTCCAGTGAGGTCGCAGTGAGGTCGTTATAATTTACCCAGACATGTATATATGATTGTGATATTGATATTTCTGGACGAGTCTTGATACATGATCATATACCAGATGATATATTTATGATTAATGCGTATAACCCCCCATATTAACACATCAACAGAGGTCAACCCATCAAGGGCTCAAGTTGCTCCAGGTCAAACCATCAAGGTCAACTCACCATCGGCGCCTTGCGGGAAGGCGCCTTGGGAGGGGGTGGCGCGACCACTTCCTGCACGGCACAACCGACATCTCGACGCTGTCGACTAGGCACAGGAAAGTGAAAGTGAAGTTGCTCCGAAAAGTCTGACTCATCTATTTTTCAGGTGGGTGAGATCTATATATATATATATTCTACATGTATATATATATATATGTTTTTTTTCTACATTATATATATATTCTACATATATTCTACATATATATATATATTCTACATATATATATATATATTCTACATATATATATATTCTACATGTCATGTATATATATATACATATTCTACATATATATATATAGTCTACATATATATATATATATTCGACATATATATATATATTCTACATATATATATACTACATATATATATATATTCTACATATATATATATATTCTACATATATATATATTCTACATATATATATATTCTATATATATATATTATACATATATATATATTTCTACATACATATATTCTACGTATATATATATATTCTACATATATATATATATTATACATATATATATATTATACATATATATATATATTTCTACATACATATATTCTACGTATATATATATATTCTACATGTATATATCTTATAAATGTATATATATAGTTATATTATGTATATTACATTAATGATATATGTTGCTGCTGCAATGGCCATGCATGTTTCCGTGTTCGATCGCGCCTGCATGTGAGGTCCATGTCTGGGTGTTGGCACCTGGCGGATATGCCCGAAACAAACTACTGTATGTAGTCAGTAGGCTTTAATATTATTGGGATATTTATTGTTATATACATATACATATATAGTTACATATATTGTTACATATATAGTTATATATATATATCTGGGTAAATTATAATATTTCACCAACCTGAATTACGGCCATTTGGGGATCATTTCCCTTACTAACCATGATTCCAGTGAGGTCGCAGTGAGGTCGTTATAATTTACCCAGATATATAGAGGCAATATCTATCAATATCTTATATTTTTCATTAGTGGGTTTATTCTCTGGCAATCAAACATGGCTGGAAAATCCTCCATTTGATGATTTTCCCAGCTAGAAACCTTCATTTAGTTCGGGGATAAAAGGTAGCTTGCCATGTTTGATTACTGGAGGGTATCAGTTTTAAATGTGTATATATATATAATTATATATATAATCTCTAGCTGAATTTTACTTGAATAATTAATCCATCCACCTGAAACGTTGGATGATTTTCAGTGGCTTTCCCGTACGTACCATCACACTTCTTTCACGCTTTTCTATGCGGCCAAATTGGCACTGATGTCGCGGTGAGGTTGTTGTAATTCACCAGATCTGAGTCTCCATGTAATCGGATAATTCTATAGCAAATGGTTTCAAACGGCTCGCGAACAATCATACTAAATAATTTTCCAACAACTGGGGTAGCAATGAAACCATTAATATATAACTTTGAGAAAATATCGAGGCTTCACCAACACACGTGGGGATTTCGTTACAACATGTTACAACAGTACCACCAAGGGGGGAAAAAAATGTCGCGAGAAGAGATGTTGTCGCCCAGGAATTCACCATTCGAGGCGCTGGGAAAATCCTTAAATGCAAGGTCAGAGAGGTTCCTGTTTATGTAAATAATTTCAATTATGTATATAAATCTATAATTTATATCATAATTACCATATACCTACAAAGATGGTGCATTTCCCAGAGGAGCGCAACTTTGTCCATTTGCAATTCAATGTCAATGCTGATAAAGTTCACAAAGTTTTCCAAAATCTTCCCACCCTCTATTTCGCAGGATCAAAGTGAGTTGGAGCAAAAAAAATGCAACCAGTTTTCTCCCGTACGCCGTAATCAAACATGGCACTGGAAAATTCGCCATTTCGTTCGATGATTTTCCCACCTAGAAATTCAGACACCTTCATTTAGTTTCCCAGCTTGCCACGTTTGAGGACACCGGAGGGTAACAACAACGACAAGTACATAAGCCCTGTCATTGGCTATTCCATGCTATTCCCTATAGATTCTCTATGCATTCCCTATCGCTTTTCTTTCCCATTGGGAAAATGCCCCAAAATCGGCCGGCCTTGACCTGTCCAAAGCTGCTGCGCCCAAGGCCACCCGGGGGTGGCCGCAGGGGCCGTCGATCTTGGGCATCTCGGGTGGTGGCAGCTGTGGCCTCCTGGATCTTCCATAAAGGATTGGAGGATTTCACCCGAAATCCAATTGGGGACTTAACATAGGGGACTTCTTGGGGATATACGCAACATTTAGATCATTTAGGATGTCTGAAGAATCTGAACATGGACTTCTGAATCCCCCGATTACTTAGCAATTTGAGGGGGGAAGATTGATATTGATGACTTTAAAATTGATCCAACGGAATCCAAGTCGGTGGTAAACCCTGGATCCGTTGGGAGATCCACCGGGATTGCATAAAGGGGGATAGATATGAACAAGAATCATGGTTTACCCATGGGTTTTCTGTTCGGAAAATGGTCTATTGATCTGTGATGATCTGTGAATGTGGGATTTCATGGGATTTCCCATGTCTGTGCTAATTAGCTGGAGGGTAATTTTTCAAATTTCACGGACAGAAGTGGTGGTAAAATACCAGACAAAAACTAGCTCACCGGGAATTCATCTACAACCATGGTCAGCAACTCTGGATATAACTAGCCAACAATGTGATATTTGGGCATGTCTTGAAAATGGGTCGGTTACCACCTTGGAGAATAGGTAGAGGCCACTGCCCTCCTGTGGAATTTCCAGCCTGGTTCTGAGTCATCATGACATGATGTCTGCGTTAAGCTTTGCTTAATGAGTCCAGTCCCCAGTGCTATCCATCGCAAGCATCATCTGCAGTTTGACAGCCAGTCTCCACTGGCTTACAGGTACTCCAACAAACTTACCGGGAAGGTCGATACAAGGCCCACACGTTGGGTTGCCCTCGCAAAAATTGACCAAGGTTCTCTTTTGGTTGGGGTGTCCAATATTTTGGGACGAACACACTTGGCAAAATCATTGGCGCACCCAAAACGATTGGTGAGCTTAGTCAAGAAACACCACAATCGTGTGGGTCTCAACGGTCTCATTCATAACCTCAACAAATGGTCATAAAGCTAGACATGACCCATATCAAATCGAGAGATCCATCTAACTCTATATCTCTATCTCTCTATATCTCTATCTTTCTCTCTCTCCCTCTTCTCTAGATAATTATGTATATAAATAATGATTCCTTATACTGTACATTATACAAAATGTTTGATACCCCACATTTGACCTACCATGCCCACTGCTTCAGTCCTCCAGTTGTTGCACTCTGCTTCTGACACTGGGGAGAGGCCTGGAGAGCTGCAGAAACTTCTCCTACTCTTTGGCTCTCAACACCCAAAAATCTCCCAAATACTTCAAGCAACTAACTTGGGTAAATATGAACAGCATTGAACAGTGAAAAACTAAAGAAAGTTGGTGAACTATGGTAAAATCACCACAAATGGTTGGAACAACCCTGTTGAAATATTACTAACATTCGTAAAATAAGCTTGAAATTCATCCAGACCTTGGAAGCTCATCCCATTTGGTAACTCGTTAGTAACCCTTAGTAAGAGCCATTTATAAGTGGGTTAGTTATACACTTCTACCCCCCTCACTTACTAACCAGTTACGATTTCTGAGATGATCCTCCAAGTAGGATGTGGTAAACCCAATGTCATAAACTATCCCCATGTCATCACGATTTTTATGGGTGGTATATATAAACCATCCCCAAGTGCTAGTTGTTTATCGATTTCTACTTCCCCCATCCCCACCTGTCGATCGATCTGACGATCTCAGGCATCTGGTCGGCTGGCACAGGCGCTGGCAGCATCTTTGGAGACGAAGCTGCCTGTGCTGCCTCTGCTGCCCGCGGATCACACACATCCTGTTGATTTTACCCTCTAGGAATCAAAGGTGTCAACACTGGAAAATACTCTCGGAATGGAGGTTTAATGGGAAAATCAAGGTACGTTTTAAGGGGTAACCAGGTAGATAAAGAGGTAAACTCAGGGCAAATGAACCATGTCCCACCCAAAGTGAATGTTTACCCACAATGGTTGTAGCAAGCCTGATTATTGTTGAAATCCCACTAAATCCTTCTCTGGCTCTGTAGTTTCTGTAGTCCAAACCCCAAAATCTTCGTCAAATTTGGAGCATCATCCCAAATTTTTCGGGTGGAACATCAAACATGTCTGAAACCATCAACCAGTAATCAGTAATCCCACCAAATCCTCGTTAAAAACCAACAGTTATGAAAACCACCCACCAAGTCCCTGGACCTCAGTAGGTGGCGCTGGTGGCCGCGGCGCCGGCGCTGCTGGCGCTGCTGGCGCTGCTGGCGCTGCTGGCGCAGGCCGCAGCCAGGAGCTACTGGAGGTCTCCTGGGGTGCTGTCAAGTTCCCCTCGGTATCAAAAGATCAAACATGGCTGGGAGATCCCATCCATGGGAAGATATGGGAAGCTATATAGGAAACTATGGGAAAATGATGGGAACATCATTTTAACATCGGCCCATCTAGCCATGGGAAGATATGGGAAGCTATATAGGAAACTATGGGAAAATGATGGGAACATCATTTTAACATCGGCCCATCTAGCCATGGGAAGATATGGGAAGCTATATAGGAAACTATGGGAAAATTATGGGAACATCATTTTAACATCGGCCCATCTAGCCATGGGAAGATATGGGAAGCTATATAGGAAACTATGGGAAAATGATGGGAACATCATTTTAACATCGGCCCATCTAGCCATGGGAAGATATGGGAAGCTATATAGGAAACTATGGGAAAATGATGGGAACATCATTTTAACATCGGCCCATCTAGCCATGGGAAGATATGGGAAGCTATATAGGAAACTATGGGAAAATGATGGGAACATCATTTTAACATCGGCCCATCTAGCCATGGGAAGATATGGGAAGCTATATAGGAAACATTAGGGAAAATGATGGGAACATCAATCCAAAACATCGGAAAATCATCGATCAATTGGGGAGTTTTCCAGAAACCAATGGAATCCAATGAATCCAATGAATATAGCGGCACCAGTTGGAACATATGGGATGAAGTATATTAATATCTATATAATTATATATACAACCAATAATATGTATATAATTATCTATCTATCGTATAGGAAATATGATATATATAATTAGATATATAGGTTGAAGTATGTTGTAGTTGGGTATAATCTCTTCATGCTGGTTGCTGAATATCCTATTTCTATTGGTGAATTTTCTGGTGAACCCAAGGCGCCACAAGACCCGAAGACGTCAAGTGATCTATTTCTGGGGATATATCATGGGAATTGGTGGGGTAATTCTCAATGTTCATGGCCAATTTTCCATTCAAGAACTGGGAATGATCTATTACATCATATTCCTTGCATGGATCATGGATATGCTTGTTTTGACCAATGAAAAACACAATGTTTGCGGGGGCAGCGGCAACATTTCAGTACAGTATGGGTCAAAAGCCTAGTGCTGCGCATTTCACACGCAACATGATCAACATGTTTGATGTCTGTCAGTTGTTCGGTCCTCATTCTTGGTTCATCACCATAATTATAGAATAATGTTTTGTTGGTTGAGACTAGTTGAGTCTCAGTTTTCCTCGGTAAAAATCGGCGATTTTGCTGGTTACATCCACATGTTTCTTCATCGAATCCCGTCCTGGTGTCTGGGCGGCGAGAAAGGCTCGCGGCTGTGGTCTGCAGATGGTTTTCACACATGGGATGCCACGGATGACTTCAATGGGTTCCCAATGATTGGACAAACAGGTACCGGCATTGGCACAAGACCAAAGTTGGGCTTCACTACATTGCTGTCTTCAGATGTATGAGGTGCTTTGTCCCTGCCCATCATTTTTTGCAGATCAGCTCGCTTGCGACCAACCGGTCTTCGGCCAGTCGCAGACTTTTGTACACAGAATTCTGGGCACGGGGGTCAATTCATTGGGGTCCCCAAAAAACCATAAAACACACAGAATTGGTCGTATTTATTCATAGTTCTTTGTCTATAATGCTTTTCAGGGATAATTCTGACCCATCCCAAGTGGGTTTGGCTGAATATAGGCTGCCCATGGCTGCCCTTCCCAATCCAGGGGTTTATCAGCACTTTTTCCATCTAAAGCACTAAACTTATTTGGAGTATACCTCATTTTCTGAACCATCCCCCATTGACCTGCACGGTGGGGCCCTCAGTGATGTTTTCTGGTTCATGGACCATAAACCCCATTAACTATATAATATATATATATATGTATATATACATATATGCATATATTATTCATAATATATATATATATATATATATGCATATACTATATACACGTGTATATATATATATATACAGCAAAAAAAAACAAACTGAACCGTTAACCAGTTCTGTGTGCATTTAAGTGTCAACTGAGCAACATCGTTTCTGTCAACCCCATCGATCGAAAAAGAGCTCACCAGAGCAAGGCCGACAGGTCATGCCACAAGTCGCTCAATAAGTCGGTCGACACCAGGAAGGCGGGGTCGCAAAAGGCCTCGATCTTTCGATTCACCAAAGATGCTGGATCTAAGCCTCTGGTTATGTCAAAATAGCTATTGAAAATGGCCATTTATAGTGGATTTTCCCATTAAAAATGGTGATTTTCAATAGTTATGTTAGTTTACAGAAGGGTAAGCTGCATCTTGTCTGTTTTTTTGTAAACTGTAAAGTATGAAAAATATCAATGATCAAAACAACCAACAAAATTGGAAAGTCTGGGCTGAGTAGTTTGGGAGGTAACAAACAAACAAAAACCCATTGACGCGATTGAAACGGAACCCCCCACCGTTTGTACTGTACCCATCCATGGGATCCTGCACCGCATTTGAGCATGGCCCGCCCTATGGACTTTCACGATCCACCATTCGTTGAAGGGATAATAAAAAAACAATAAATCACAATCCAAATAGAGGCATACATAAGCAATCTTGGGGTGCCGCCTAGCCGCCTGGCCGCCTTTTGAATGCATTTCATTGGGTGACATCACAGCATTTTTCTGGATATTGGCTGATAAAACTATATTAAACTAAATTAAATCACACTGGATTTGTCTCAACATTGACCCAAAATAATGATTTACAGTAATTTGTGTGATGATAGCAATTATAAACCATAGAACTTTGTGGGAATTTGAGGTTCCAAAAATTCAAATTGATGTTCAACTCATGCCACTCTGCTTCGTCTGAAAAAAAAGGAACAAATCCAGGGTTATCATCAATTTACCCAGTGATCCCTATTGAACTGGCCACACTTTGGGCTTAGAATATGTTAGAATCACATCATTTTCAGACCCAAGCATGATTGTTGTTTGTTCATATATTCATATATATTCCATATTCCATTCACCCCAACAATTCAATTAAGTATCACCATGACGCACCATGTGTCTCCATATATTGTCTGGTGAAATCCATGGGATTTTGCATCGTTTTCTCCACCGACTTGACTCGCAGGCACCGAAGCGAAGTAGCCCGCTTCAATGGCCGCCTCCAGCTCACCTCCATCGGCTTGAGTCAAGTGTCAAACAGCCCTCAAACTTTTGCATATGTCATATGTCATATATGTATTGTATATATAATATATACAATATGTATAATGTAATATGTATGTATTCCATTGGGAGTCAAGTGTCATTGGGTTTTAAGGGACATTTTTTCAGGACCTTCCCGGATACATGGGAAACACCTTGGTTTCCGCGAAGCTTTGCCTGGCTCCCAGTGGCAGCAGCCAAAGAAGCAGCAGAGGTCTTCGGGGCTCAAATGTTTCCACCTGACAGCGGAAGACGCCTCAAGTTCCAAGTTGGTTTAGAATTATATACGCTACATCAAGTAGGATCTATTCATAATTCATGGTATGTACATATATAATATATATATATAATTAATTATATTGTATATATATATATATATTGTAGATATATCTCCCTGATCTATGGCATATCTATAATTAGATGGGGATATTTTTACCACTGACTATCTGTTGGGCCCAACAACAGCCACGCTAGCCGCCTCAGCAAATCTCTGGCGTGCGCCACAACTTCATCGGAGCTCAGGAAGACACCTGGAGATCGGCTGAGGACTGGGTGCCCAAATGGCATTGTTCTCAATGGTTGTTACCCTCTGGTAAACTAACATAGCTATTGAAAATCATCATGTTTAATGGGAAATTCCACTATAAATGGTCATTTTCAATAGCTATGTTAGTTTACCAGAGGGTAACCATTCACTAACCATTCACCAATATATTTTGGCCAATGTTAACATTGTATTAACCATGAATATTACCCATTGGTTATTCTCAGTGGCCTTGTTAACCATTCATCTGACATTGAATCATATGACATTAACCAATGAATCATATGAGATGAGCCAATTGAATATGGCTACCTTCAAATTGGATCAAATTGCTTGACCATCATTTTCTGGTTGGTGGTTTCGCAGTTTCAACCCCTTTGAAAAATATTAGTCAGTTGGGGTTACTATTCCCAATATATGGGAAAATAATCCAAATGTTCCAAACCACCAACCAGACTACATATTGAACTTGCAAAGTTCAGGGGTGTATACCTCCGTTTTTGGGGACAATACCAATGAGGATGAAGCCAACAGGCGTGTACAAACAACGGAATTCAGCCTAAATACCTATATATTTACATAATCGTTATTTCGTGGGAAATGATGTGACATAATAATATTAAATTTCACGAGCTCCTGGGATTTTGTGATTTTTAGGGAATATTGGATATCAAGGTCAAGATGCAATATTTGGTGCAGTGTACGCGCACAAGGGTGGCGCCAAAAAACTGAAGCGTCATGGTTTGCACGGGTTTGCACTGGATCAGCCTTCCATAAATGGAATTGGTCCAATTAATCGTTCAGAAAAAATGAAACGGTCGGAAACGGTCGGACACAGTCGGAAACGGTCGAAAACATGATCAGGCCAAAACTTGTTCAACCCGCATTTTCTTTTGGATGATAAGCATTTCCGCGCAACGCCGTTTTTTTTTTGAAGGTCCAAAGGTGTCCAAGGGGAAACGGTTGGAAACAGTCGGAGATCGCACCTTCGCTCCGACCGTTTCCGACCGTTTCATTTTTTCTGAACGATTAATTGGACCAATTCCATTTATTGAAGGCTGATCCAGTGCAAACCCGTGCAAACCATGACGCTTAAGTTTTTTGGTGCCACCCTTGTGCGCGTACACTGCACCAAATATTGCATCTTGACCTTGATATCCAATATTCCCTAAAAATCACAAAATCCCAGGAGCTCGTGAAATTTAATACATAATAAATAGTCGTGTCATATATATATAATTATATATATATAATAACATTTGTATAACATGTATATATTCCAATCACCCAAGCAACCAACCAACCAAGCAACCAACCAACCACCCAGCCAGCCAACCAACCCCAAATTTTATCCAATGGTATCCGGAGTTCCCCAACCAACAACTATGTACCGTGATTTTGAACAACAGACACAAACGGTTTGCCGCAACAAATGTGTTGGTACATCCAACAAAGACTGCTGCCACCCGAAGAAAAAAACATGGTGACAGTAGTGATAGAACAAATTCATTGGATATCATCTGGTTATTCAATATAGCTATGACAAATGACCCATAGAAATAGATGATTTATATTCATACACATGATGATTTACTTATTAAAAATGGCGATTTCCAGTTCACCAACCGTTAAATCACCAGAGCCCGCCTTTGGCCACCTCTTCTCCCTGAAGTTCTTGAGAGCTGTGAAGCAACAGAAGGCTTTTGCCACAAGAACCTGCAACATGGGAACTTCGTACGTGAAACACAACACCAGAACTTGGGAGCCATGAATAGCCAGAATCACTGCAAGTTTACAGCGTGCAAACCTCATGACATGTGTATAAAAAATCTATCTCGAGCCTTTTTCCGACCCCCCACACCTCCAAAGCGCACCGGAATCTGAAGCAAGTCCCAGCCCAAGTCCTTCAGTGTAGGGTGGCTTGGGAAACCGCAAACATTTCTGGTGGATCCTCAGGATGATGTTCCAAACTCCAGAGGAAAGCTTGGATGCTGGAGAGACTGCAAGAGTTGGCAATTTCAACAAAAACAACCCTCCCACCCCCCCAAACAAACTCAAATAACGTCAATTCAATAGAATAACCTGTGAGACTTCCATCCAACTCTTGCCATATTTGGGTGTGTCTGACACTGTGTCTGCAAAGAAGGTAGTCCAATCCCATGGTATATCATCATGCTTCCCATTCAAACATGTAGATATAAAAATGATGACACTGATATTATATACATAATTATATAATATAATATATATATATATATAATTATACACAAAATTTCGATGTTAAGGGGTACATCATATCCAACATGTTTGGACAATTTCTGGGTGTTTCAAGATGCTTCAAAACATGTTTTCTCAGAAAAGGTCCAGCTCCAACTCCAACTTGCTGTGCTGGGTCAGGATGATACCCTTCGATCCACTCTTCGAATGCTCAAGGACCAGAATCACCGACCTGCCAAGGGACCAAAAATCCCAAGAGACCTCAAATTTGTTGAAGGTGATGAATCTTGGAGGTGTATGAAAGATTGGTTTTCAATGGTTTTATGAACTTTTCGAAACCCAATCCATCAAACACCTGGCATCAGATTTCACACAACAGCCTCCAGTGACTCCAGTCTGCATCTTCCGACAACACCATACATTTCCGACAAACTGATAATATTGTACCAACATGTACCAACATATTCTGAAAACAAAAACTTGAACAGTCCATGCAAAATACCAGGGGTCCTTCCGCAGTATCAGCGTCCTTTCATATGTGCCATGGTCAAAAGATCGTCTAGATTATATATGGTTTATAGTCATCCATTCAATGTTGGGACTCCTTACAATGGGTATATAAATCCGAATTGATGGATTGTCTGGGTAAGTCACCAAACCACAAGATAGTAACATACAACCGTGACTGGAGTCCAAAATCGACGGGTCTTCAAAGCGACCCATTGACAAACATGCCTGGGCTGGTGGCTTCACTCCATCCCCATCACAAAATGAAAGTCATTGGGCATCGCCACAAAATTCTCATCATTCTCATCCCAAATAAGTCAGAAATCACCAGGGGATGGGTCAAAACCTTGTACCCCTTTTGTTCACATCAAAATAGCTGGGATTTATGGATGTTAATCCCCCTGAAGTATTTATAGGTATTGATCCATAGCCAGACAACTTCACCATTTTTCACCAGTTGAAGCCACCAAGGCCACCGGGCCTGATGAGCTCAGGCTGCCCGGCGCTGGGGAACAAGGGCCGACTCACCAAGATCGATCCCCTGGCGTGTCAGTGGCGGATCATCCCAGTTTTTTCAGTTTTTTTTCACAAGAAAAAGAAGTGAAACCACCAAGCAGTTCATCAATGAAAATCGTTAGGTTATATTAACTAGACTATGTGTATATGTTGTATATATACACTGTATCTATATATATATATACACACTGTATCTATATATAATATACACTGTATCCATAATATATATGTATATATATATACTGTACTGTATCTATATATATATATTATATATTTATCCCTCATATCCCCATGATGTGAAAAACCCTAGATATGCGAGCACCATTGGGAACCCATCATCTCCCCTTTTGAAACGTTCCAGCTTCTCCGGAGAAGGCTCTGCCTGCTGGGCTGCGCATGAAAGGCCCACCATTGCAGTCCCAAACGCTGCAAGCATCGGCAGGATGTCGCCGTTGGACCTGCCAGGCGTTTCGGGTGGCTATGATTTTGTTAACCTCCAGGTCCTCACATAGGGAATCGCCGCATCACTACATTGGGCGAGTCTTTGAGCAGGTTCGAAAAGTGAATCCAGGCACATCTACCTCTGATAAAATGTCTGTGATTAATTCATCCCCATCACAAAGACTCCAGAAACTCAAGCCATCTGGGTACCGAACTTGGAACAATTTGGATCCATATCATCATACCCATATGAGCCATCAAAATGGGACTAGTTTGAAATTAGAAGCTACAAGCAATAATATACAAGAATACATAATACATAACAATTTTGAGAATTCAATATTTTGTAACAATGACAAGTGTTTTTTGTCAACAATGATCGCGACTAGCAAACTATTACCTTCTGTGCAGGAGCCATTAAAAGCACAATGGCGCCACCAAAGCAAGAGGATGTGTAGATGAACATTACCAAAGAAACAATGATTTCCTTCCATTTTGCCAGGCTCATCAGGGTATTGGTGAGTTTTGACCGCTTTGTGGACCTGACATGATCAGGCAATTTCTGGAAACAACTTGGTGAAATGGGCACACATCCGACAGTGCATTGATGATGGTTGCAAGACATACATGGATATTAAGGATATTATACAGTGTATATATATATATCTCTATTCCACATACGAGTACACGTAGACAGAATACTTGTGATATCTTGTGATCACTTCTATTGTCTATTGTCATGTCATGAATGTTCAAAACTTGGTTTACATGACCAGATAGCCAAGACATTTTGACCCACCATCTGCAATTACTTCCACCAGTGCATCACAGCCAGCCTCGTGCGGCTCCGAAATAGAGGTGTCGCAAGCCCTCGCCCGGGCGGAGAAAGGGTCGCACTTTGCCACTGCT